GGAACCTGAACGTGAGCAAAGAAGTGGAAGGGCAAGTAGGAGTATACCAAATACTCACACGCTGCATCGCTGCTGCCTTCGACCTTCGCTTTCAACTCGTTCACTGAAATCAGCACATTGCGCAATCGCAGAGCAATGGAAAAGCAACACACCAAGCGATGTATCCTTAATGCTGCGATATTTTTGTTTGTCGCAGTGGTCCACGATCGTGCCGAGGCGTCCTAACTGTGGCAAAGCAGGAAGGAACGGTTCCAAGTCTCACCTACGCCAATAACGTCGGTAACTGATCTGTCAAGAGCATTCTGCGGTACAGGCGATTCTCCAACACCTCCCATCAACTCTGGAACCGTACACACCGTTGCTGGGGTGCCGCTGCTACTTCCATAGCATGCTGCCGGAGCTATCATGAGCGCAATCTTCTTCTTCAACAGCCGCACCGCCTCCCTTACTTTTTCACAATCGATCGTGTTCTGAAACGCATCAAGCAGCAGTTACGTGAATCTTCGTTTGCATTTGAGTGGAAGACCTTGCAGGTCATGTGGCTCTAGGATAAAGTAAGCGTGCTGTGTACTTGCGATAGGGGAAACGCACCCGTCCCACGTTCGCCGAGCATTCATCAAACCATTTATTCAGAACTTCTTCTGATGGGGCTTGGCTGGTGACAATCAGCTCCCCCGGACTTGAAGAATCGCTTATGACAACTTTCCATGGGTGGACCAAACTCCTGACAGTTTGCAAACCATAGATGGTGCCGGTTATATCGTCTACCTGCACTCGAGAATCCGGTTCTTGAATCCCGCTCTGTAGGCACCGACAGTCTCACCTCAACCACACAATGAAAATATTCATCCGGTTAAATTAAACACTCTTAGCATATCACTCGCCAATTAGTCTTCATGAATCTAAGCTTACAGTAACGCACGAACGTTTCTTGCTTCTCCAGGCTGTAATGTACTGTACTGTACCGCTACTCATGAACAAAACGGCGTACATCTTGCACTTTCTTGAACGTGCTGAAACTCGAACGATCTCGCAGAACTACCGCCCAACCTTGCAGCCTTGCATTGTCACCAAATGTGTCCAGATCTGAATGCCACAGCCAGCAAAGGACAGCACAGGAGTCCTTTTCTGTCCCACCCCCCAGACCATGCGACGCCTTCATCCAAACCACACACCAATGTGCCTTCGGCAGCAATGTGGTGGGAAAGGGATACCGTACTCTTAAAATTAACAGTGGGTGGCTTTGGAATTTTAGCACATATTTCCTTCTTTGATTCTTCCAGCTTCTCTAAAATAGGGTCGATTCGATTCGTGCCGTCGTCCTCCTGCAGCAAGTCTCCGCTCCCCTTTTCCGATAAACATGTGCTGAGAGCTTGGAAAATTGCACTATCTTCTCCGTACATTTTAGCAAAGGGGTGTTCGCTGTTTAGATCCGTAAATC